TTTATAAGCTTCCAACGATCCAATGCTTTCAGTGCTGCAGATTTGGTCATACTAAAGATTTATGTCGTTCCAAGCCAAGATGCTCAAAATGTGGAGGTGATCACTCCTCTTCTTCTTGCGACAAAGATAATGGATCTTTTCGTTGCTTATTTTGCTCAGGTAACCACAAAGCCACAGATTCTAGATGTCCTGAACACACAAGACAAAATAATATTAAAATTGAAATGGCACAAAAGTCTATCTCATACCTAGAAGCATCTCAAAAATATCCACAAGTTTCTTCAAAATCATATTATGCTGATGTTTTGATTTCTAAATTCCCTGAAAATTCTTCGCTTTCTACTAATCCTACAGTGAATAATTTTCCTTCCAACCCCGCTACATCTAATAAAACTTCTTATAAGAAAACATTATATATTCCTAAACCATTACGTCACCATTCACAAACAGGATACGACAAAAAAAGTCATCAAAAAATTATTGAAGATTTTTCAATTCCGCAACCTGAGGATGGTTGTGCTCTTCGGGTTTCACCAGTTACTTCACAGGGTAATTTTGATTCTGTAGAAAGCATTATAAGTTTCCTTATTAACATAATCATATCTTCGTATTCGTCGAAACTACCGTCCCACGTTGCTCGCTTACTAAATTCTATACCTAAAATTCTCCAAGACATTCACTCTCACAAAGATCCTTCAATGGAATTGTAGAAGCATTTTAGATAAACGTACTGAAATAATCTATTTATTAAAGAAATAAAGTGTGTGTATCGCTGCTATTTCAGAGACATGGCTAAAACCGGATTCGAATATCAGAGTACCTGGTTTTTGTCTTGTTCGAAGTGACAGATCTGATGGTTATGCCGGATGTGCTTTGCTTATAAAAAATAATATAACTTATTCCATTATAGATGTTTATGATGAAATATTTGACTTTAATATTGTAGCAGTAAGAATTCAAAATATAACTTTCGTTTCTATTTATGTTCCCTCCCCTTCTGTCCATACGTTTTGCAGAATAAAATCTTTAATAGCCTCCTTACTCAAACCATTTATAATTCTTGGTGACTTTAATTGTCATCATTACTTATGGGGTGATAATACTGATAAATACGGTAGTTTATTAGTTGAAATAATTGACGAACTTAATATTTGTGTCCTTAATACTGGTAAAATTACCAAACGCTCTCGCTGTAGATTTATCAATTTGTACTCCTGATTTAACCACTCTTCTAAATTGGTCAGTTCTAGATAGCTCTCACGGCAGTGACCATTTTCCCATTCTGATTTCCTTTCCAAACAAAGAATTGGCAGAAATTAACAAAAAACCATGTATTAAATACAAATTAGACAGAGCAGACTGGAACCTGTACAATATTTTTCTTTACAATGAAATTCTAAAAATTGCTACTATTTCTGAAAATAATATTACTTCTATTGTTGAAGCATTTACAAACGCAGTTATAAATGCAGCAGATCAAACAATTCCTGTTAAAACTCTAAATAATAAATGTAGGCCCTCCCCTCCATGGTGGGATTCTGAATGTTCTGAGGCCATTCGTAATAGGAAAAAAGCCGAAAAACAATATAAATTAGACATGAGTTCGGAAAACTATTCATACCTTCAACGTGTACAAGAAGTGACTAAAAATACTCTTCGCACAAAAAAACAAACACGTTGGCATGCCTTTTGTTCCTCAATTTCTCCTTCAATACCTTCATCAGTTGTTTGGCGTAATATTAGAAAATTTCGCTGTTGTTTTTCATCTTGTTCTTACGGTGGTGTCATTCCCTCTCAATCTATAAACACTTTTCTAGATAAACTTGCCCCCTCTTCTGCTCCTTTGAGAGAGGAGCTACCTCAAAGTATTCCATGTGATTCTTTTTTTGATCCCTTAGAGCGTCCATTTTCTTTATATGAATTAAAGCTCGTCCTTTCTCACGTTCAAGATTCAGCTCCTGGTTTAGACGGTATTCCATATTCACTACTTGCCAAATGTAATGATCAAATTTTATCCTATTATTTAAATATCATTAACGTTTTGTTTGACATAGGCTTTGTTCCTGACTGTTGGCGGACTCAAGTAATTATTCCTATCTTGAAACCTGACAAAAATCCTAACGACGGCTCTTCTTATAGACCGATCGCTCTATCCTCAACTCTAATTAAAACCTTTGAACATATGATCAAGAACCGTCTTGAATGGTATGTAGAAAGTCATGGATTGTTATCAAATTCCCAATATGGATTCAGAAAAGGTAAAAGCACATATGACAGTCTTTCTATCTTCACCACAGATATTAGACTAGCATTTTCGAGAAATGAATCGGTCCTTGCTGCTTTCCTTGATATTTCTTCTGCTTACGATAATGTCAGACTCAACATCCTTAGAGAAAAGATGTTTAAGCTTAATATATCCAAAAAACTTACAAATTTGATTATCAATTTATTTCTAGATCGATATATACATATTAAAATTGATGATGATCTAAAATATACTCGAAAGGTTTTTAAAGGCCTTCCACAAGGCTCTGTTTTAAGTCCTTTATTATACAATATTTATACGTCAGATTTGGACCAGTCTATTTCAAAGTGTAGAATTTTGCAATATGCTGATGATATCTTAGTTTATGTTAATGATAAATGTATAGAATCTTGTGCTAATGCGATAGAACAAGATCTCCTCTCTATGGCCTCTTGGTTAGATGATCATGGGCTAGAACTTTCCCCAAATAAAAGTAATACAGTAATTTTTTCTCGCAAAAGAGTTTTACCTGAAATCCAAGTTCGCCTTTTTGATTATCCGCTCGTAAATATTCAACAAGTTAAATTCCTTGGTGTAATTCTTGATAATAAATTATCCGGCATGCCTCATATAATTTATACCCAAAAAAAAAATGCGAAAAAAAATATAAACATTCTTAGAGCTTTGTGCGGGGTATGGTGGGGCGCTCATCCATATTATTTAAAATTAATTTATAATGCAACTATAAGAAGCCGATTAGATTATGCCTCATTTCTTCTTGAACCAACTAGTAAAAAAGGATTAAAAATATTAGATATCATTCAACACAAGTCTTTAAGATTAATTATAGGCGCTATGAATTCGTCGCCTATCAATGCCTTGCAGATTGAATGCGGTGATCCTCCACTTTTTATTAGACGACAATATTTATCGGATTCCTTTTTTTATCGGGTTCTTCAATTTTCAAACCATCCATTACTACCTAAAATTCGTTTGCTTTCTCAGTACATTTCAATTAATTCAGGAAAATACTGGCGTAATAAAGAAACTCCTAACCTAGTTAAAAGCTATGAACATTATAATTCCTTACTAGATCCTATTTATAGGTCGGCGACTCTGCCTCTTTTCTCCAATTCGTTTGAAGTTGCACTTTTCAAACCCAATGTTATATTAGATATAGGATTAAATAAATTTTCTATTGAATCAAATAAAAGATTTGTATTTACGTTGGACAAGAATTTCCCAGATTGTCATTATATTTTTACAGATGCTTCTAAGACTAACTCAAAAGGTTGTACTGGATATGCAATATACCATCAAAATTGGAGAATAGTTCAAAAAATGAAAAGTCCTCCCGAATCTTCAGATTTTTACTGGAGAAATGTTAGCCATTTTACAATCAATAAAATATTGCTATCTTTTTAAATTAAAATCAAGCGTGATATTTTCAGATTCTCTTAGTTCTTTACAAGCATTGTTATGTAATCCTTTCTATGACATTTCCCGCAATCCTTTGATATTTAAAATTAAGAAACTTCTATTCTTATACCAATTTCAAAACATCAACATTTCTCTCGTTTGGATTCCGAGTCATATTGGTATATCTGGTAATGAATATGCTGACAAACTTGCTAAACAAGCTATAGTCTGTGGGGATACTTTCTTATTTAAAAATTATTGCTACGACCTTATAAGAACTACGAAATTAGTATATAGAGATAGATGGTCAAAACATTGGAACAAAACCAAAACGACAAAAGGCTGTCACTATGCCAAAATTCAACCCATCATTCCTTCTAAGCCTTGGTTTTATAAATTATCCTTAAATAAGAAACATACATCAATGTTATGTAGAATGCGCTTGGGTCACTGCTGTAATTCGGTTCACCTTGCTAGGCTTCATATTAAAAATTCTTCAATATGTGAATGTGGTTTGGATATTGGTGACCTCAACCTCAACCATATTTTCTTCTCGTGTCCGTTATATGATCATACTTCATTATTTAACACTTTGGTAAATCTTAAAATTCCTCTTCCTACAGAAATTTGTTCTCTTTTAATTTTTTCTAAATAAAGTAAAAATGTTTTCAATTGTCTTATGGAATTTTTAGATTTAAATAATATTAGATTATAAAATTTTATTCATTATTTAGCTATCAATCGTCTTTATTTAGTAATACTGATTATTTTTAATGTGGTATTGAGTTTAGTATTATTTTAATTCAACCTAATATCCATCATTTATTTAATATACTTCAGTACAAGTCATTTCATGATTCATTATTATAGTATTCTATGGTTCTTAACATTATGATTTTGGTTTTTAATCAGAATCGTAGTTTCTCTTTAGATTGTCCGTCGTTTCGTTTCAAGTTACAAGTATTTTTATTGACTGGAGGTTGGCAGTAATTGGTAGGTTGCCATATAAAAAAAAAAATAATCTGTGATTACTGTATAAGTACATATTACTTCAATGTTTTTTTTGATTTAATTGTGTGTTTTAAATTGTAGGTACTAAATTTCTTTTATTTTGCTACTAAGATTAACTTTTTTTTTGCGATAAAATTATTTTTTAACTTTTAAACTTTAATAATATTCTTAAAGCCTTTTTTGCTATTTACATAGATAAGGCAAGGGGCTGCTTTGTACAATCAATGTTATATTGTTATAATCATAGATTACTGGTTATAATAGTGTCTAGCTAGTAGTAGTGGGTATAAGAACTTTTATAGAAACTCACTATTTTATAATGTAGTTATGTCCACTGAAACTACATTTACCAGTTCCCACATGGAGACCATGATAGTGGTCCTCAAGCCTAGATCAACTATAATGGTAATAGTATTGGCACATCTGTATTATTAAAACAGTAATTTTAATATGTTTTGTTTTGTTGACTCTTTCTCACATGATTCACAAATGACACATGGTACGGTGCACCTGGGACAGCAGTGATGCCAGTATTTTAAACATATGCAGCTCTAATTTCTGATGTCACAAAAAAATTAATATTCCATTTCCTTCTCAAAAGTTTGACTTGTCTTGTGTTACTTTTGTAATGTGAAATATACATTGGATAAGCATATTATGTTGTTATATATAAGCATATTAGTCTTATTGGGGTGGCTTTAGTACCTAGTCTCACAAGGAAGCAAAAGGAGAGAAAAGTGTTCCTAACTATCCCCTATTCCTACACTTCGCCCTTAGTGGTATGGAGACCATATCTTTTACCTGGCAGTCACACCACGTATATTTGAAAATACCAAAACTGATGCAAAATTAGAAATGGACATCACATTTTCGAGAAGTAGGCAAATGAACATGCAACCCACCTGATGGTAAGTGGAAACTGTAGCCCATAGGCACCTACATCAAAATGCAGATGTGTTGTCACCCACAAACTAGAAGAATTCGCCCCTGAGGACTAAGATGAAGTGCTTTGTTATAGATGTTTTATCTTGTAGAGGCAAAGGTTTACTTGTTCTTGTGTCGTGTAACCTTGTGTTGTACACTTGCTTGCGTATGTAACTGTAGGTATAACTAGCTAGCCTATAGACCAAAATAATATAAATTACCTAAGTATTAAATATTTATTTAATACTCAGGTAATTTATATTATTTTATTATTATAATTAATTAGCTAAGATCTGCATAAAATATAAAAATTATGTCTTACATAGTTTTAGAGCACCTCCTTCAATTGTGTATATTAATCGCAATAGCACTGTACTAGGAAAGGCACATTATTATAGATGATATGACATGTGTTTCACCTCCAAGCGAGACATTATCAGAAGCTCCAGGAGGAGAAAATCAGCTGCCTACACTCTTATGTAAGACTAATGTGCCATCATAAGATAAAATATTTTACCAGTAAAAAGGGATCTCTCTACATTCTTCAAACACCTTCCCTGGTCAAACAGACACAGCTGAGATTTATGTTGCATTTAACAAGCAAAGTGTACTTTACATGACTTCAATTAAGGCATACTGTGAACTAATTATTGTACTTATTGTGAATTTAATTTTCTTTTTTTAAATAATAATTCTATACAGCTTTAGACTAGCCAAATAAGTTCAAGCTGTTATTGTGGTATAATTTGTTTAACAAGAACCAACAACAACAAATATGAAAACAGCAGTGACAGTCTTACAAGAAATGATGATAAAAATGAATAAAGTGCCTGAATATGAGTGCATTGCACAGGTAAGTAAATGAAAATAAATAAAGCTGTTTAATATTTGTATTGATGCGACTAAAATTTACTTTAATTACAAAAAAAATGATGTAGATTACGAAACAAATTTTTTTTGATAATATAATTATCATTGAATAAAAATTGTACTTCTCTATTCCACTTAGATGTAATTAGAAACATAAAAACAATCAGACACAAAAACATCTTACTAATTGTGCTTTACTTTATTGTTACTTACTTACTTACTTTACTTATTGTATACTTGGGGAGTGCTTTCAGCCGGGATGGAAGATGTGATTTAGATGTGGATAGGCGTGTCGCTGCCGGAAACAAAGTCAATGGTGCCCTGAATGCATTAGTAAAAAGGCAAGGCGTGGTGAAGAGTGCACGCCTTGCAATACATAACGCAGTGTTGGTACCGACTTTGTTATATGGCAGCGAAACCTGGGTATGCCAGAAGAAGCATAAAAGCAAGTTGAATGCAGTGGAGATGCGATCTCTTCGTAAAATGTGTGGCGTTACCATAGCCGACCGAAAGCGAAACGAAGAGATTCGCAATATGGCAGGATTGAAAGATGACCTTATCACAAAAATTGATAGGGGCGTACTCCAATGGCTTGGGCACGTTGAACGAATGAGTGAAGACCGAATGGTGAAGAAAATATATAGAGCGAAAGTAAATATTAAAAGGTGTCGAGGTAGACCGAGACTAACTTTCGAAGACCATGTGAGCAAATTGCTCGAAGAGGGGAGGGTCAAGAGTACTCGGATACCTAGACGTGCATGTATGAAGAAGTTAATGAACCTGAAAGAAGCGAAAGAGGTATGTAAGGATCGTGACACTTGGCGATCTGTTCTCTCTGGCTACCCCGTTAGGGATTGTGCGTGAAGATAAGTAAGTAAGTAAGTACTTTATTGTTCACCCCAGCTAGAATTCAAACTCAATATGTAATTTATTACTTATATTGTTTTGATATGTATACATCAAAACAATATAAGTAATAAATTATGAAGAAAAGTATTGAGTCTCTTAGTGTTTCAGAAAATATACTGACAAATAAAGAAAAACATTCTGAGCTTAATAATAGAATCAGGCGTTATTTCCTTTTTAATTTATATTATCCATTTTTTTAACAGTTGTTAAAAATTAATTTGCTAGGATCCATATAGTAAAATTATGTGTCTTACATAGTTTTAAGAACACCTCCCGCCCTCGTTAGAGCAAATTCTTAGCAAATAAATTTTTAACAACTTTAACATTCTTAGCCTTGCCTTATTTTAAATATCATGGTTTACAGGCAGGACCACAGCACCAGGCAATGTTTGAGTACCGTTGCAAGGCAAATGGAGTGACAGTTACAGCAATAGCTCGATCAAAAAAGGAGGCAAAGCAAGAGGCAGCACGAATCATGCTACTGCAATTGGACAAATGTGGTCTGCCAGTCCCACCACCGTTTTGCCATGGTGGAGCGCCGAGCCAAACTTTGGTTAGTTTTATATATTTCACATGCTCACTTATCCGTCAGCCAAAATAAATCTACTGTTGAATGCGGGTTTCCCCCAAAATTTCATGATTAAGACAACCTATATATTAACTGTTATTAATATGCTTATAACTGCAATGTTTTAGTTTATATGTATTAGTATATTAATGTGTATTAAGTTCATCTCTTACAGCCTATAAAAGTCCACTGCTGAATGTAGGACACTCCCATAAATTGCTTTATAGCGAGGATTTTGTCATAGTTACCATGCAGAGTGGTAAATTTTTAAATTTTTTGTTGTTATTAGAAAGATGCTACTGCCTATCAGCAGCTTTGTTTACCTCCGTCGCCTCTTACACCCAGTACATGGCTTACCCATACGGCACAACATACTTCATCTACATGATTTACCTTTAGGTTAGTTCAAGTCAAAATTACTTTAAAAGTGAATATCGACTGAATATGTTTATAAATGTTACAGGGTCCATCAACAAGTACTAGTAGTGATCAAGCTTCGTCCATTGGTCCTCTATCATCCCGTAGTTATGTTGCACTTCTCAATGAACTTTGTGAAGAATACCATCTTCCAGCCGTTGAATATGAACTGACAGCAGACACAGGACCACCACACGCGCGCCATTTTACAATAAGCGCTCGCATGGGAATGTATGAACGCCACGCAACGTCTACCACCAAAAAGGCCGCTCGTCAACTTGCTGCTGAACAGCTCTACACCTATTTGAAAGGAAACCTTTCGAGGGTCACAAAAGATTTTGTTGAGGTAACTAATCCGTAATAGTTTTAAACGCGGTAGAGCCACTCTACCGCTATATTATAATTGTGGCACAAATAGAACCACACTCACAGAATACCAGTGTAAAATAGCAATTTAATGCTGCTGTGTTTTGTATGGTGAGTGTAGAGATGACTATGTGCCACAGCATCTACTTACCATCAGGTGGAATGTGTGGTTGTTTGTTACCTATTTTATACAAATAAATTTAAAAAAAAATCTTAATGTAAATGTCTATAGGCCACAGCATCCACTTGCCATCAGGTGGTTCGTTTATCACCTTTATTCTATTTAAAAAACGTTGTAATAGTGTATAGATTAAATTAAAATTCAATTTTCTTTCATATAATGTTCTGAATTGCAATAATGCAACAATGTACTACTGCTTCATCGTTCCCACTTTAAAAAATTGGGCATAATATATGAACGACGTAACAAAAAGTTGCAGTAAATAATAATAATAGTATATTAAATTGGGACCGCTGGGCAAGACAGGTTCTTGAGTGGCAACCTCGTACTGGGAAGCGAAGTGTAATGCGATCCTCCACTAGATGGAGTGATGATATGCAGGAAGTTAAAGGATGCAGGTGGCTAAGGACCGTGCTTTATGGCATTCCTTTTCCCTATGTTTAGGATTAGACTAGTATGTAGCTGTAATGATGATGATGATATTACACAGGATGATGCACTGGTCCGAGCACATGAGAAAGCAATGGATCGCTATGTGGAAGCTCGCGAGGACCTTGCTTGGCGACCCAACCTCGGTCAGAAAATCGCCGACTACCATTTAGGTCTGTTGACCCACATCGGTAAGTACACTGTCACTAATAAGTTCCCATTCTTTGTTCCTTGCATTGGAGTTTGGAAGTTGTGTGAGTATTCTATATATTCTTCTAATTTGGCAATTCGGTTTTGCATAGTTGTTAATGCATGATACATCTATAAATTGTGTGGCATTTTATTTAATAAAACTTAATTAAAGTACATATGAGAACAGTGGCATAGCTAACTTAATCACTTGCTGTTGGTCAACAGCCATTTAGTTCAAACTACTTAAGACTTAACGTTTTAACTTCTTTCTTCGTAACAAGAATAAAATCTTGTTATGAAGAAAGTGTAATCCAACAACTTCTAACAAGACACTTAAGTATTCTCGTATTATTATTAAGCCTTAACTTAACAAAACACCTTAAACGTGTTGAGCATAATATGGCGCAGGCTTGAATTCCGCACGGAACAATTACTTATAGTTATTAGTATTTGAATTACCTACAAAATAATTCTTCCGGGTCCTTGTACAATATAAACTGCCTCCACAATACGGGACGAAATCCTATTGTAAGGGTAAAGTTTTTTTTTAGAAAAAAAAATTAGCCTTATATTTATGCAAAAGCAAATGGTAATATTTCATACATCATCATCAACCTAGCCTTTCATAAGTCCATTACGAAATATAAACTGCTCTTACAGTGAATGCCACAAATCACTGACGAAATCCACCTGCATCCATTATCCACCTGCATGTTTTACAAATCGCATCACCCTATCTAGTAGGGTGGCACTAATTGTACTTTATATAAATAACAATTATTTCAATGTACTGTGACAGTGCTTGTGTTCGTCAGAATGTAGTGTATTTACAGAGGGCACCCCAATCATACCTTAACTCACTGTGCTTGAACTTTCTTTAAACTGGAATACCTTCCTACATATATTTAATTTGCATGTTTACTAAAAACATACTTTTCTTATTAATTTAAGATTAGTGACTTGGGTAGGATCTAAAGATCATTTGTTTAGATTTGAGATATATAAAGATTGTTTTATAAATTTTTATTTTAATATTTGTTTTATTATTTTTTTTTAAGTAAATGTTCAAGTTTGATCTCATGAAGATTTCTTATATTTACGCGAACACTACACATTGAAATAATACTAGTTTTTACGGAATTTATCGCGTATATTTAACTTTTTAAATACCCGACGTTTCGAACGCTTTACAGCACTCATGGTCACGGGCGGGACTGAGATGTTCAACGTCCATATGTCATAGTTAACCGCGGTTACCATAGATTAAAATTTAACTTTTGTTCCGATCTATGCAGTATGAACTTATGGTATCTTGAAGTCTTGCAGTTGTATGCTTGGGTTGGGATTTAATTTTATTTATTATAGGATCCCAAGCAGATGGTAGCACCCAGCCATCTTCTCTATTGAAATTAGGATGCTTTTTGATTTCAACAGCCTCGCGAATTATCCTTGGAAGGAATCGGTGTTCTTTAGCGAAGGATTTGCGGTCTATCAAATCTGATGTATTGACGGGGGCGATCCTGTACGTGTTCACAGACTGCAGACTTCCCGGAGCGTCGATTCTTCACATCAGCTATATGTTCTTTAACGCTGGTTTTTATTGATCTTTTAGTTTGTCCTATGTAGGAGAGACCACATTCACAATCAAGCTTGTACACTCCTGCATCTTGCAGAGGGACATTACACTTGACTGATGGTAAAAACTGACCAATCTTCTTCAGCGGCTTGAAGTATGTTTTGATGGAAGCGCGCTTCAAGATGTAGCCAATCTTGTCAGTGACTCCTCTCACATATGGCAGTACAGCAGGTACACGCTCGACTGTGGCCGGCTTCACTCGTTCACTGTGACGTAAGCGGGGGACTCGAAGCTTGTTGTCATGCAAAACTTGCTTGACATGGTGGAGCTCTGCAGCCAGGTGTTTACTGTCACAGATCCCTCGTGCTCTCTGAAACAAAGATTTACCCACGGTAGCTAACTGTGATGGATGGTGGTGAGAATCACCGTTTAAATATCTATCTGTATGGGTCTTTTTTCTATACACAGTATGGCTCAAGGTGTTATCAGGATTCCGAATTACTAACACATCTAGAAAAGCTAAGGAATTGTTTGCCTCTAACTCCATTGTGAACTGAATTTTAGAATTTATAGAGTTAAGATGGTCTAAAAATGCAGTTACTTTGTCTAAAAGTAGAATTGTGAAAGTGTCGTCTACGTACCGCTTGTAGAATCTTGGATTTATGGGTGAACTAAGCAGGGCTTTCTCCTCAAAGTCTTCCATGAATATCTATATCTACCTTTAGACAAAGTAACTGCATTTTTAGACCATCTTAACTCTATAAATTCTAAAATTCAGTTCACAATGGAGTTAGAGGCAAACAATTCCTTAGCTTTTCTAGATGTGTTAGTAATTCGGAATCCTGATAACACCTTGAGCCATACTGTGTATAGAAAAAAGACCCATACAGATAGATATTTAAACGGTGATTCTCACCACCATCCATCACAGTTAGCTACCGTGGGTAAATTTTTGTTTCAGAGAGCACGAGGGATCTGTGACAGTAAACACCTGGCTGCAGAGCTCCACCATGTCAAGCAAGTTTTGCATGACAACAAGCTTCAAGTCCCGCGCTTACGTCACAGTGAACGAGTGAAGCCGGCCACAGTCGAGCGTGTACCTGCTGTACTGCCATATGTTAGAGGAGTCACTGACAAGATTGGCTACATCTTGAAGCGCGCTTCCATCAAAACATACTTCAAGCCGCTGAAGAAGATTGGTCAGTTTTTACCATCAGTCAAGTGTAATGTCCCTCTGCAAGATGCAGGAGTGTACAAGCTTGATTGTGAATGTGGTCTCTCCTACATAGGACAAACTAAAAGATCAATTAAAACGCGTTAAAGAACATATAGCTGATGTGAAGAATCGACGCTCCGGGAAGTCTGCAGTCTGTGAACACGTACAGGATCGCCCCCGTCACTACATCAGATTTGATAGACCGCAAATCCTCGCTAAAGAACACCGATTCCTTCCAAGGATGATTCGCGAGGCTATTGAAATCAAAAAACATCCTAATTTCAATAGAGAAGATGGCTGGGTGCTACCATCTGCTTGGGATCCTATAATAAATAAAATTAAATCCCAACCCAAGCATACAACTGCAAGACTTCAAGATACCATAAGTTCATACTGCATAGATCGGAACAAAAGTTAAATTTTAATCTATGGTAACCGCGGTTAACTATGACATATGGACGTTGAACATCTCAGTCCCGCCCGGGACCATGAGTGCTGTAAAGCGTTCGAAACGTCGGGTATTTAAAAAGTTAAATATACGCGATAAATTCCGTAAAAACTAGTATTATTTCAATTGATCTCATGAAGTTTAACCCGGACAGACAGATGGACAAAACTTTTTAAAAAGGGTTCAAACATACAAATAACATTGACAGACAAGTGGACAAAACTTTTTAAAAAGGGTTATTCATCACTTAATAGCATACAATTAACCCTGACAGACAAGTGGACAAAACTTTTAAAAGGGGTTATTCATCACTTAATAGCATACAAATAACCCGGACAGACAGATGGACAAAACTTTTAAAAGGGGTTATTCACGACTTAATAGCATACAAATAACTCTGACAGGCAGATGGACAAAACTTTAAAAAGGCTTATTCATCACTTAATAGCATACAAATAACCTAGACAGACAGATGGACAAAACTTTTAAAAGGGGTTATTCATCACTTAATAGTATATAAATAACCCGGACAGACAGATGGACAAAACTTTTAAAAGGCTTATTCATCACTTAATAGCATACAAATAACTCGGACAGACAGATGGACAACACTTATAAAAAGGGTTATTCATGACTTAATGGCATACAAATAACCCGGACAGACAGATGGACAAAACTTTTAAAAGGGTTATTCATCACTTAATAGCATACAAATAACTCTGACAGACAGATGGACACACTTATAAAAAGGGTTATACATCACTTAATAGCATACAAATAACCCGGACAGACAGATGGACAAAACTTTTAAAAGGGTTATTCATCACTTAATAGCATACAAATAACCAGGACAGACAGATGGACAAAACTTTTAAAAGGGTTAATAATCACTTAATAGCATACAAATAACCCGGACATTCAGATGGACAAAACTTTTAAAAGGGTTATTCATGACTTAATGGCATACAAATAACCCGGACAGACAGATGGACAAAACTTTTAAAAGGGTTATTCATCACTTAATAGCATACAAATAACCCGGACAGACAGATGGACAAAACTTTTAAAAGGGTAATACATCACTTAATAGCATACAAATAACCCTGACAGACAGATGGACAAAACTTTTAAAAGGGTTATTCAACACTTAACAGCATACAAATAACCCGGACAGACAGATGGACAAAACTTTTAAAAGGGGTTATTCATCACTTAATAGCATATAAATAACCCGGACAGACAGATTGACAACACTTATAAGAAGGGTTATTCATCACTTAATAGCATACAAATAACCCTGACAGACAGATGTACAAAACTTTTAAAAGGGTTATTCATCACTTAATAGCATACAAATAACCCTGACAGACAGATGGACAAAACTTTTAAAAGGGTTATTCATCACTTAATAGCATACAAATAACCCTGACAGACAGGTGGACAAAACTTTTAAAAGGGTTATTCATCACTTAATAGCATACAAAATAACCCGGACAGACAGATGGACAAAACTTTTAAAAGGGTTATTCATCACTTAATAGCATGAAAATAACCCCCTGAGCTTAATTGACATGAGAGGTATTTCGATATGAGAGACAGCCACTTTAATTTTATTTATATGTATCAGAGATGGGCCCAATATTCATTTCATATTTGATATTCGGCAGCTTTACCGAATATTCGTATTCGGCCGAATATTTGGCTAAATCACCGAACATTCGTCAAAGTGTCCACTTTATTGAAATGTATGAATTGAGTAATGCCATATCTTTCATAATTTTACTGTTGAAAGTGTATTTTATTTATGGGTTAAATTTACTTGTATTGCGTTATGTTTTTGAGGCACTATAGATTTGTTCCCAATCATGGCAAATAGAGAGCTTGATAAAATGTTTTTGGAATCAAACCAAGAAACATTACATTATTTCACATTACTTTGGTCGTCAGTTTCTCCAAATATAGATGTATAAAATAGATAATAGATAGTAGATCTACCACTCATTTTTATCATATAATTAATTTTCACTAAGAATAAAACAACGAAATACTTTTTTCTCACAATAATAGTAAAAACATATGCATGTGCCGGCAATTTGCTTAGTACTAGATGATGCAATATCATGTCAGGCGTGACGGGTGAGCGTGAAGCAGGTTTCGACGGCTCCCGCGCGCTTCACGGTAACAAGTTTCGACATAAATTGCATAGGTACCGAAGTAATCCTGCCGAATAATGTTCGGCTGAATATTCGGTTCGGTAAAAATTTTACCTAACTTTCGACCGAATATTAGTATTCAGTGAAATCCATATTCGGCCCGTCTCTAATATGTATGTAACATATAAATAGAAAAATATTGAAAATAAGTTTTGGCGTAACATGTATTTTATTATTATTATTCTCATTACAGCCTATGAATATTCCACTGTTGAACATAGACCTCCCCCTAGATTACCTTATTGGGGAGAAATTATAGATTTAAGATTTAATTTGGGGAGAAATTTAGATTAGAGGAGCAAGAGTTATCAGGTAGATGCTGTTATACCATTCTGTTTCATTTTTCTCTATCGCCTCTTACAACATCCATAGGATGATATTGGATAGTGGTTCCTCTAATGCCATATAATATGGCGTTGTATTTTATATTTTCGAGTGAATTATTATTATTGGTTTAAGTCCACCTGTTGGTAAGTGGCAATTGCAAGCCAGCAACCACATCACATGCGGCACTAGTACAAAGTCATCACTGAGAACCAAGATGAAATGCCTTACAGTCTCTGAACCGTATCTCTTATTATTCACAAGTACAGAACTTCTTTATCACCAAGGTGTGTGTCTAGGTATGTACCATTGTTTTACCTCCTTCTGTCTCCAAGCGACAGTGCATGCACTGATTTGTTTCAGTCTAGGTATTGAGAGGCTGTGGGGCATTCCGTATCGGTCCTGAGAGGTGACAACGCATCTGTATAATTTTTAGGTTTGGTTAGATGTCCATGAACCACAGTAGCCACTTATCAGGAGTGCTTTCATTACATTTGTCATTTCAGGTTTGTAAAAAAAACTATGAGTAATAAATAGTAATAATATTCTCTAAACCAAACTTCGGTCACTGCGGTCAGTCTCCGTGGAGACCAGCCATCTGTGCAGGACATTATCATAGTGCCCGAGTGTATGCGCAAGCATTGGTGCAATGGGTGCGTTTGGCAGAAAAAAGCGCTAGCAAGCGCTTGTAAGCAAAATGTCGATCGTAAGCTGTAAGCGCTGTCAAATCGTAAGTAGCTATTTTCCTCCAGGACACGATTTTAGTTTTAACCGGGGAACCTAACCTAATTTAAATATATGTTTGTAAAGTATTCATATTAAAAACTTACCGATCATGAATTTTTAAATAACATGTATATGTTTATTTATGTCATTATATTACTTAAAACTAATATTGCACAAAACAACTTATAAACTCTACTTCACAACAAACAAATTAAATAAGCAAAATGATGGATTGTGTCAGCGCTACTGAAGTAGCAATCGTGTCCTGGCCGAAAACTATTTCAGCGCTTATAAGCGCTTGCTAGCGCTTTTTTCTGCCAAACGCACCCATTCTCTATTCCCTCGCTTTCATAGTCTAATGAGACGGACATCCGACAAAGCTAAAAAAAATCGGGCGCTGGACCAACAGCTTCTTGCACTATGATTAAACATCGTCAACTTCCTGACTTTGGGCTGCTACTTAGAATTTCTTGATAGGAAAATCCAATAACTGGTTTTGACCCGATGGGATTCCAAGTCGGAACCTCACGATCAGCAGTCACAATTACGGTAAATAAGTAAAAGCGTTACATCCTAACCGAGATGGATTCCTAGGCAAATTTGCTACAATTATGTGTAAAATAATGAAGTCATCATTGTAAATTAAATAACAACACTTAATAATTGAAATAATTTAACTGTATAATATTAATACCTAATGGTTGAATGCAGCAACCGTAATTGCAATAACTAAAATTCTGAAATAACTACAAAACAATATTATACTAATATAATGTTTTAATTAATATAATATAGTTATTTGTAATATAACAAAGTAACATTATCAGCACCACTTTCGCTTCACTTACCTTGCATGTTGACAATACAAGCTCGGCGAGACGCCACTTCTAATCCCATTCTTTATCAAATACTAATTTGTTAATTAGTTACTTGACCCCAAAGAGTCAGTAATTCCTTCGTAGGGCAATGCGCATTTATAACAAAAGTCCAGAAAATATTCAGACCTTATCTACTATCAAAATGTTTAAAAAGAATTAGCAGTAATTGCTTAGTAAGGGTTATTATACTACTCAAGAGTACATGATTGATAATAACATCTGGGAATGAGGTGATCGCTACCATACTGTTTCTAAATGTTTTCATACTAATTACGTAAAATAATATATTGTAAATTATTAATCAATATTATTGTACGCTTTTTTCGTTGAAAATTTGTTTAATTGTATTATTAATGTGAAGGCTCTCAGATTCTCTTATAAATATTGGTAAATGTTTATACATGCGAGGGCCCATGTAGAATTTGCTTTTCTTAAACAAACGAACCAGTGGTGAAACTTTTTAAATGGCTTTCAATAAGTATTCTTATTATCTATATTGAATAAAAATGATTGTATTCTATTAGACTCTGAGAAGCATGCGCGAGCGCTGGAAGCGCTGGAGGCGTGTCGCGAGCTGGAGGCGGAGCGCGCGCTGGCAGCCGTGGTGGGCGCGCTGGGGCTGAGCGTAGAGTGCTACGAGCTGGGGGGTGACCGCGGCCCGCTCAGCGTATTGTGCCTGACACCCACTGCGCCCGCAGTAACCCTCGCCGCCCGAGACCCCTCCACCGCTGCGGCGACCGCGCTGCGATACCTGCGTCGTTCCCTCGCTGCAGATCCAGAGCCCCCGCTCTAAACATGCCAACTGTCTACGTGGTCAGCCCTGGATGCGAAGCTATAGTGTGTGACACAAGCTTTCTCCAGTGCCAGTGACTGTGAGAGTGCCGAACTGACTTTACGTAGAATGATGGTATTCTGAATGCCATACTATAGTGTATGACGTGAATTTTCTCCAGTGCTAGTGACTGTGAGAGTGCTGAACTGACTTTACGTAGAATGATGGTATTCTGAATGCCATACTATAGTGAATGACGTAAGTTTTCTCCAGTGCTAGTGAGTATTTAAACGTGAGTGTGGAGCTTCGATACCGCCGTCACATCCTCGCAAAAGACAGGACTTTGCCCTCGCACTGCTAAGAGCACCAAGGTTAGACTTGGAGAAAGATAGAGAGGACACTAAGTGGCTTGATGCATGCCTGGATGTAATGCTAATGTTGGTTTGGGCCACAAACTGCCAATGACCTCACTATAATAAACAAACATGAAGAAAGAGGAACGTGTGACTGCTTGATCCAGGCCTAGATTTGATGCTATGGTGTGGGACAAACTGTCCATGGTCCCAAATGCATATGAGCAAACTTGGATACAGATAGAGGCCCTTAACTGACTTGGTCTGGCCTTAGATGTGATACTATGGTGTTAGACACCAGTTTTTCTCCAGTGCTGGTGTTATTAGTTTTTATACTCTGGAATGAGTGACTCGTTAAAACGAAGCTCAAAACCATTGTAATTGAACAACTTTACTTTGAACCTTAATGCTGATGGATTTTAATCAGTTACTAGCAATAATGTCCGGCTTTGCATAGATGATTTTTAGATCTTGATAACAGCAAAACCTACCGGATTCAATTGTAAATTTAAACTACATATCTGGGGACACACTGAAACACAAAAAATAATCAAAATCGGTCTAGCCATCTAGCAGTTCAGTGACAAACCCACACATAGAAGATATATATATATATATATATATATATATATATATATTGCTAAATTACAAAAATTGAAAGAAGCATGGAAAGAACTGCATGCAATACAACGAATAGGCTGATATATAACTGCAAAAAAAAACGATGCAGAGTTTTTTAGGATTTTGTAACTTTCTTATTAGATGTGGGTCGTTACGTCATTTTCAAGAAACGTAACGAAACCAGTGACTTTGTCGGCGTCACCTGTTTCAAAACTAGTGATTTTTGTAACTGGCTATTTTATTCGGCTACTGTGATGAACCACCAACACATACAACAAACACTTAGTTACATGGTATTTTTGTAACTGGCTATTTTATTCGGCTACTGTGATTGTTTGTATATATACCACCACCAACTATACAGTTACACATGAAACTAAACTATACAGTTACATACGAAACGAAAATAAATTTAATGACTATCTAAGTGCTTGTAGCTATACAGTTAAATCAATAAATTAACTTCCCTTCATACTTTATTCAGGCTTAGGACTGACTGCATTAAATGTATTTATGATTGATTTGTGTTTACTATAAAACTGAGATTTGCATAAAGTTATTAATGCAGGCGTATTTAGAAGTCAATTTATTTGTATACTGATCTCAAATGATTTAAGTTTATTTACACTTTTCAACGTTTTCACTATCATTTGTTTTTGCACTTTTATTACACTATAATTATTTTGTCAGTTTGTTTAGCTATTTACACACAGTTTTTAAGTTTTATAACTTATAATATTATACACATTTGAAATATTTATACACATTTTTTAGTTTTATTTTAATTTTATGAATAAACGAATTCATGACTCCGTCAAAAATCTTTTTGGATCTAAGTTAACATTTAAATACATCAATTGGCCAACTTTGTGTGTCTTCAATTGTGTACGGCGGTTATTAATCGTGAGCCCTGTCTTGCTTAATATCCTCTCTCATGGTACTGAGGTTGCCATTATGTTGCCATACTTGTACGCAAGTATGGCAAGGTTGTGATAAATGTGGTGGTTACGTTGCCACCATTGCAATGGACAGTTAAATTTACCACTGTCGTTAAACATAGGTAGAATGTTGTCTTTTAAGTAGGAGTCTACATCCTTGATGGCACACGACAAAGGTGTGCCCACTTGCTGCTGCTGCATCCCGACAATATTGCTTAAAATGGACCAAGGTGAAAATTTATCTCGTACCGGTATGAAAGCTGAGGTTGAAGTGGATTGTTGCGGTTGGTTCTCTCCATGTCGTCGCCGTCTAATATCAGTAGCAAGTATTTCTTCTAGCATTTTCTTTGCTTTTACTGCCTCAATTGTGTCAGAGAACACATTAATTTTGTACCTTGGGTCTAAAATAGTACATATCGAGAATGTGCCACTTCTCTCAACACTTTCTAGTCTCTTATCTAAGCCTGTTCGAAGTGCTGTAATTACACTATTTGTTGTAACAGTAAACCCTTCCAGGAGCAGTTGGTCCCAAGATTCTCTAAGACAGCGTGTCATGACTATGATAGTACTAGCTGTCATATAAACTTCACCACTCATGGCCTTCGTAGCTTCGTCGAAAGGTTTTAAAATCTTGCACAGTTCGTGAAATATTGTCCATTCCTCGACAGTTAATCGTAAATCTTTTTTAAGAACTGCAACAGTGGCACATATTTGATTTTCTAGTTCCACAAATCGCTGTAACATAGCAAACGTAGAGTTCCACCTAGTTGGTACTTCCTGCATCAAGCGCTTCGGTGTTACGTCCGGCTTTTCCTGTGATTACGCTTTTAATAATTTTTCTAGGGCTGCCGTACTTGTCTTAAAATGACGAACGATCGTTTTAACTTTATCCAAAGAAGCTTTGAATAAATTCAGGGCATCTTCCACTATTAAGTTCAATGTATGGCCATAGCATCCGTAATGCTTCCACCCTATATCAGCTATGGCTTTTTTGACGTTAGCTGCGTTGTCACTAACAATAAAATTTATTTTATTTGTTACATTACACTCGTTGGTCGTTTCGAGCAATGCAGCTTGAATATTTGCACTGCTGTGCGTATCTTTAAACTCTGCACATTGTAATAAAAATATTTAAGAACCAGACCTTTTGTTATATAGTGCCCCGTAACAGCAATGTAAGCATCATTGACCCGAGACGTCCATAAATATGTAGTTAGAGATAGAAATTCGTTTATTTCTTCTTTTTTTCGTAGAACTGTTTGGTCGTATAATGTAGGAATTATAATATTAGAGACAGTTTTTCGCGATGGTAACTCGTAACCAGGTATATGGCGCGCAAATTTTTTAAAAGCACGTTCTTCTACTAAAGAGAAAGGGTGATAGCTGTCTATAAATAAATCGGCAAGGTCATTATCAATTTGTCTTTTTTTGGTTAACGTAACTTTTTTTCTAATTCTATAGCTATCAATGCGCTGTTGTGCAGCATGGTATATGGGTATGATATTTGTAGCAGTAGACGTAGATGCTGACGCAGCATCGGAGCTGGACAACGAGGGCTGAGGTCGGACATCGCCTGGGGGCTCCTGCCCACGACTTTGTTCTGGGGTCCTTGTCGTTGATTGCGCGGTACAAATGCATGTTACGCATGGAGGTGTTTTCGCTTCAAATGTGTTTTCAAATTCGCAGTTGAAGTTTTGAAGCTATAAACTTCACCACAACTGTTGCATTTCGCCTTTTTTTCATTATCCAGTTTTTGAAAAAATTCCCACAAAGCACTAGAATTCATTCGAGACATATTTTATTTACACTTTATTTAGACTTGTACAATCCAAACTAGTTATATTTATATAATAAGAAAGAAACGTTACACTAAATGTACATGAAACACCAAAATAACATATAATGTTAATTTTTAAAAGAGAGTACTCAAAATTATACACAAGTACAACGATGAACTAAAACAAAGACAAACTAAATTATTTTACTTAAATTCAATGGGACTCTCGCTTCCCGGAATCGGAAACTGTTGAAATTATTTACAAACAGAGATCACTCTATTTTATAGTCTATATCTATAGTCTTACATATGGATATTAAACATACAATAATACAGTTACGTACCCTGTTTTTTTTTATTGTTATTGTATGCCACATGTGCGCAAAAATCACTACTTGTGATATGACTCGAAACTAGTGATTCGTTTACATGCCGCGTAGCCAGTTACTGTAACTAGTGACGTGAAATAATGCCCACGTCTATTTCTTATTCACATTTGTACAAAACCTGTGCCCAACTGTGGAATAATTATCAGTTATCGGCTAAAAAATTAAGTGTCTTCTAATTATATGTTATAAAATTAGAACACTTAATTTTACTATGTATTTATTCCAAATAAAAATTAACCTGTTAGTAAATGTTCATTGTTAGTGTTAACTTTGTTTTACTTGCATATGTTTTTAAACAATATAATAGCTTAGTTGCAGCATAATTTCAACAATTAGTTAAATTATTTTCAGTGTTTCTGTTAGCTATGTTTGTTATCACCAGTATTTTTTTTTTACTTTTATTTTTATTAATTTCTTAACTGCTGCTGTTAACTTGGCACATTTGATGGTAAAGGAAAGCATGTTAAACAAACCATTTCTACATAATCATAAATATTTTGTGAATAGCAAAAGTCCACCAACAAATATTAGGGCATTGAGAAAACTTCCCAGCAATAAAGGAACTGCTTTTCTTTACATTAAATATATTCTATTTACGTATAAGGTTACTATTACAATAATAAATACTTTTTTGTTAATTGGTATATTTTATTTATAAAAAACTCATTTATTTACTCTTTTAATAATTATTAATATCTCATCTAGATGTTAGACGGATTTAATTATTTTTTCAAGTGCAAACCTCATCATCTCGTAGTGCAAAGATCAATAACAATTCAAGGAGATAAACCATATTTTGAGACAATATTTTTTATTTATATCACAAAATATAGTAGTAAACATGTATAAACCTATGTGTAACAATATAATATAGAAATAATAGTAAAATCAGTCGTATAACTTAGTCGGAGATTTCGATTTCTGAAGAGTCCCGACGCCGGCGTAAACTTCTCTCGGCAGTTAGATTTTGCAGCCACTTGGTGGTTTTTTGAGCGGCCGAACGACGAGGCGTCCGGCGCTCGGGAGATGGTGTGGGCTCCACCGCCGCTGCCCGACCTCGTCCCCGGCCCCGGCCCCGCGCTGGGCGACCTCGTCCACCCCTCCCACGACCCCTTCCACTCTCCATAGACTGCTCCAACTCTGGCTCTGATTCATCACTTTCCACAACTAGTTTAGGACGACTCGCAGCCTTCTCAATCAAACCCTTTAACTGTTCCTCATCTGTTGCATCCAAACTCTCTTTGCAATAACGTATTTGCTCCCTTACCTCATCTTCTGTTTCAGCCGTTGATTCAAGTAGGAAATCAACATAGCGCCGCCTATGTCCCTCCAGTACACGACGAAACACACCATCATCCCGTTTCAGAGTGAAATCACGTACGGCTTCTGTAATAGCTCTTACAGATAATACAGCGAGGCGCTTTTCAGGCGGTATAGCCGTGTAATATGTGCGAAGAAGAGATTCAACATCATTTGCTTCTACTGCTGCTCGCCCCATATCAACCTCCTCAATGTCTTCCTTTTCTTTATGCTCTCTGATCTTTTTTTCCCTTTTCATGATTAGGATATCATTTGGATTTGCCACCATACCATTAAAATTTTGACCAAATCTCATGCGGTTAAAATCTTGTCCCTCATGTTCATAAAACACAGAAAGCCGCACTAAGGGAAGTTTAGGTTGTTTAGGATCACCACTACGAATTTTATTTGCTTCTTCTATAGCTTCTTCTACCTTTTCTTTCAAAAAAGCTTGCACTCTCTCATTTTCTTTAATGTTATCCTCACCTAAATTTTCTTCAGACAAAACAACAGTTTTGAAAATAAAGGGTCTCACAGTTTTCAGGGGCAGTGGAGTTAATATGTACTCTTTTTTATGTAATTGTAATAAAACACAATGTTTTGGTAGGGCTTCCCCTGCAGCTAATGATGTAGCAACAGTACTGCCTGGTTGGACTATGCAGAAGCTCTCATTCTCTCTTTTTATATCTTTTATAGCAAACACTTGACTGTCATGCTCGTGTCCCCAGATAACCAGGTCCAAAAATTTAGGTAACACACTTTCTGATATATAATTGCCGTGTCCCCTGTCAGCTCTATTTTGATGAAGCACTAGAATATTAAACCAGTCATTGTTATCTTCAAGAAGATCCATTTCTACTTTTTTCTCTCCAAATAAGCGTGAAAGGCGTTGATCTTTGAGGTGACTTAAACCATACAGGGACACTTTTGTTTCCCCTTTTTGCATGAGTACAGGTGACACTCTAACTTGGGTGTAATCACTCCATTTACCAAAATAGTTAACAAGCCCAGTTATGGAAAGTATATCTAAGGAACTTATACTGCCTTGTCCAACAGGGTCATCATGATTGCCATGGATTGACAATATAGGATATGAAATATTTAAATTGGGGTCTTCATAATTAATCACTCGAGAAAAGTTTTGGAGTTGGTCAGATAATAGTTCTACGCCGATCGGCTTGTCGCCAAAGCAATATTTGCGAATTATTTGTGTACACTTGTACATACAATTAGGCGACGGTTTTGCGTGATCGAATAAATCTCCACCGAGCAAAATAAAATCCACGTCGTATTGGACAGCTAAAGATAATACTTCTTCGAAAGCGATAAAACTGTCTTCACCACGCACAGCATCATTTTCTAAATAACCTAAATGGATGTCTGATGCAATTAAAACCCTTAATGTGTCTTCAGAAGACCAAGTTTCACTCTCACTCTGCACCATTTTAACGAAATTCTGGTAATCTAATTCAGTTTAGTGACAAATATTAATTGATCTTCAGGCAAACTCCAAATGAAACAACAACAAATTAATGCCGCCAATATCAGCGCAGTGTTGCTAGATGACTAACCAACCGATACTAGTAAATACGAGTAGGTACTTGATACTTTTGATTCGATACCAAGTATTTATAGCATCGAATCAATCTTACGATACATACTCGGTATCGAAACAAAAGTACTTGGTATCAAATCGAATCAAAATAAACAATTAAAAAAAATTTTTTTCGAACACATCACAGGAAGGGCTATTCAAAAACTTAGAACCATGGTTGTCGGACAATTTAAATAACCCAAGTGAGTCAGAAGATGATGTCTCATCTATTGCACCACCTGAGTATGATTTTTGGAAACATCATAAGGAGTTAGCACATGGACACAAGAAGAAAAAGAAATCTCATTAGGGAGATGAAGTTTCTCTTTATTTATCAAATCCAGTAGTTTTTCTTAAAAGCAACCCATTTGCAGAATGACATGACATGAAATTTGTTTTTCCTTGTCTGTACAAGTATGCACAGCAATATTTAATAGTTGTGGCAACGTCAGTTCCTAGCGAGTGCCTTTTTTCCAAAGCCGGTGCTACAATGTCTCACACAAGGAACAGAATGTCTCCGAAATACCTGAAACAGATTTAGATTTATTTAGATTTAGAGTTTTTTGTTTAAACTTTAGACAAAAAACTCTTTGACATTAAGGCGCGGTTAGCTCAGAAAAGGTGGTTGGAAAAGCAGTGTATTTAAAAAAAATAAGACTACTTTAGAAATAAAAATACTGTGTAATAGTAGAGGTATTTAGAAAGAGTCGTTTGACGTTTATAATAAAAGATATTTTTTTCCTTGTCAATTTTGTTTTAATTATTGTCCTTCAAAGTTCATTGTTTTAACGTTAGTAAAAAAATTTGCTAAAAGTATCGATATCAGTAAGTATCGATACTTTAGGAGTATTCATATAAGTAGTATCGAAAAAAGATTTGAGTACTATCGAAATAAGTAGGTATCGATACTTTGATGGTATTGGAACATTCCTATGACTATGACTAACTATCTCGCAGTGTCGCTAACTCCTATAAATTCGAATCCCTAGACCGTAGACAGAGAACTATAAAAAACTATAGACAATAACAAAAGCAACAAACGTCGCTAAAACTGATTCTACTAGGAGCGGACTCAGGATTTCGTTCTGGGTGGGGCACAAGAGGCTAGTGGTATTTTAATTATAATTTGAATACATATAAAATATTTATGTTTAATTAAATATATTACCATCATTGTAACAATCACATATTTTGTTCAAATGCAGTTGCATTTCACTAGAAATACTAGAAACATGAAATTGCATTTGAACTTTACGCGCAACTAGATTTAGTTTAGTGAGCAGTGGGGCTACAACTAGTTTTATTGTACACATAGAATCACGTAGCTTTGTACTTTGATAGGGAAAAATTCCTGCGTATTTTTATTTTACATGGAGAAATACCTACGTGTACCCGCCTCGCGAGGTATTGATGTGGCCAGAAACAAGCATTCAGAAACACTAGCATTTCTGGCCCCAGCGCCGGATCTGGTCTATGGCTCCGCTGCCAATCAAGATTCGGCTGTGGATGGTAGGAAGAGTGACGCCTTACAATACCAACCCTCCTCTCGCCCACAGCTGCACCACCACCGCATCAATGGTGCGGCCACGTCACAATCGCGGAGGATAGGGTAAGTGGAACATCACCATACCTACACTCATTTTCCTTTGCGACTCCACCTCATCTATAGCAGTAGATGAAGAGGACACCCCTCTCGCCGCAGCTTACCAACTCACATCTGAATTGGACTCGCCAAGCCCACCCGGAGTGCCACTTTGGGTAGGCTCTCTCCTCGAGCCAATCATGTGGATTCCTCTTTGTTCATCGCGGGTGACCAAGCCACGGCTACTATGAGCCTTTAATGACAATGCGTTTTTTTGTTGATTGTAATAGTAATATTTCGTTGTTGTTAAAATAGTATTTGTTAAGAATATACACAATTTGAAATCATGTTAGGTTTCAGTATCGGAAATTCTATGTTTTTGTCGATAGAGAAATATTTCTACAATATGAGTGAATAAACCCTAATGACAACCGCGTAATGACGGTATAAGAATATTCTCTATCCCACATTGTCTCATGGGTGTCGTAAGAGGCGAAAGAGGGATGCAAACTAGGAGATGAGCAGCCGCGTCTTCTCAATAACAACAACCAACAAGAAGGTTGCCAACCCGCCTGCTAAGAATGGAAACTATGTCAAATATCCTCCTTATAAGGCAATCTAGGCATAGGCCCATGTTTAATAGGCTTGAAGTAGCCACGCAAGGTGCAAGTCTACGTATAATAGGCGAGATTTGATAATTATACCATTTGTACGACATTTTCAATAAGTTTAGCATATACACGCATTTTACTGGAAACGAGGCATTCCATCTTAGTCCTTACGGGTGACAACGCATCTGCATTTTGATTCGTAATCGAGGATGGATGTAGATGTCCATGGGCCACAGCAACCATTTACCATCAGGTGGACCGTGTACTTGTTTGTCACCCTATACTATAAAAAATATTATCGCAGTGCCGGGCTTCTACGAAAAAATACTATAATTTTATTTATAGAGATTTGGATATGGATGATTAGACCTCGTATTACCTACGACTGATACTTACGACGACGACGGAAGACTTAAAAATGATATAAAAACACAGAAAACAAAAATAAAGATCTGTTGTTAGACTTACTCATGATCCTCAAAATAAATTTAAAGCATGATGCAGTCTTTTATATTGCCATGATGATATACGCCTAACTCAGGGAGAGTTACAACGGCTGTCATTTATGAGGGGTGATAAATTTTTAGCTGGTCAAAAATTGCGTGGAATTCATGCCCTATCACGGCATGCTGCTACGCATTAATGCCAAGGACATTGAAGTTCTCATTGAATAATTGGCTAACACAGAGTTTCTTATATCTTAATTTAATTAATTATTATTATCTGGGGTATCTATATAGTTTTCTCATATGGTTGGGTTCTATAAATATATAATTTTAAATGAAAATGAAAAGATAAATATACATAAATATCAATAAAGTAAAATAAATACAAAAATACATAAATAAAAAAAACCCAACCAGATGGAAGCCCTCGGCAGGGGAGACCAAACGGCCGAGGGTTAGGGGGAAAAGGAAAGAAACCGGCGGACGATGCGGGCGGTATCGAGGAGCACCGTCTTCTGCATTTGAGCCCAGAGCGGTCCGTCACGGAGTCCCAGTCGCCTCAGATGACCCGAGAGGCTAACTGGGATTAGCCCATTCGCAGAGATGACTACAGGAATAATTTCGGTCGGCAGACCACCCCACATGTCGGTCACCTCGTGAGCCAGATCCACATATTTTGTTTTCTTATCTGATTTGGCTTTCACCAGGTTCTCGTCATATGGAATGGTAATGTCGACCAAAAATATCCTTGACTGTGCCCGGTCCATCAGCACAATATCAGGTTTATTCACAAGAATAGTCCTGTCTGTGATGATAGCCCGGTCCCAGTAGAGCCTGGCGCGGTCATTTTCGAGCACGGCTTCGGATAAATACTTATAATAAGGCAGTTTCCGATCCACGAGACCGTATTTCGGAGCGAGCTCCTGGTGTAGAATCCTGGCTACTAAGTTGTGCCTATGCAAGTACTCAGCGTTACCGGACTCCGAACAACCGGAGATGACATGCCTAAGTGACTCCCCGGGATGGCGACAAGCTCGACTGATGTCGACGGTGCCATCCTTTAGGATGTATCTCCGATAGTTGTTGGTCTTAATAACCTAATCCTGTATTGCACAGACAAAACCCTCGGTTTCACCGAAGAGGTTACCGAAACGTAGCCAGTGGAGGGAGGCGACTGAATCTACGAAGGGCTCATGTAGAGCCCTGTAATACCTCCCATGGAGCTCCTTCTCCTTCTATACGGTCTCCCGGTCGGAAATGCTCTGTACTGCTGGGTCCTGCCATTGCTCGTTGGCTAAGGATAGAGGGGTAAGCCCTTTATCACTAGAAATGACGTCATTATAGAATGGATCATCCGATCTCGCCAGGAAGTGATAACGGAAGCTGCACACTTAACGATTATGCATGGTGAGCGTGCTCAAAAAACCACGCCCACCATGCTTTCGCGGCAAGTACAGCCTCATTACCGACGATCTCGGATGATGCATCCTATGGGACGTTATGGTAGTGCCGACTTTTCTATCCAGGGCGTTAAGTTCAGTCTGAGTCCACCTAAGTATGCTAAAGGTATACATGAGGACAGGCATGACCCAACCGTTATATGCGTGTGTCTTACTCAAACCGGACAAAAGGCTGTTAAGCACTTTGGTCAAGCGTGCATAAAACACGTCGCAAACTGACTGTTTCATACCAGCCTCATCGATACCGATGTTCTGTGACATACCCAGGTATCGGTATGTTTCAGCCTCGGAAAGGGTCCTTAAGTTTACGGGCATAGATAAGTCTATGCCCTCAGAGTTAGCAACACTTCCCCTTTCAACATGGAGGACCGCACACTTATCCGTTCCCAGCTCTATTCCAATATAATTGCTAAATTCACAAGTGATATTTAGCAATTCCATAAGATGGGAGCGACTGGAGGCGAATAACTTGAGGTCATCCATATAAAAAAGGCGGGTCACTTTTGTACCTCCTTTCCGAAGCTGAAATCCCCTCCCGGAGCCCTCCAGTAAAGTACTGAGAGGGTTTAAAGAGATATATAATTAATTATTATTATTATTTCAATTGAACCTTAATATTTCACGTACAAAATATTTTTATTTAAATTTAAATTAAAAAATCGCAAACTCAACGTAGTTCAATTTCGGAAGCGGTGATGAAGTTTTTTAAAAACTACAAATATGTCTTGATAACATTTATTACTATTTCATT